CTGGTTGTCTCTTAGTGAGTGTGGTGGTAATGGAGGCTCCCGATTGTCTCTGAGTGGCTGTGGTGGTAATCAGGGCGCTGGTTGTCTCTTAGTGAGTGTGGATTGCTCTTGGGAATCTCAGATGCCATCTGAATGGCTCTGTTTGCATGAGTGTCTGTGAATGATTCTCAAGTTTTACTTGATGGATATCTGTGGGTTTCATTGCCCTGGGTGTCCCTAGATTGGCCTGAATGGCCCTGGCTGCTTCTGTTTGGTTGTGGTGGTAATGGATGGCCCGGATTTGCCCTCTGTGTTTGTGGGTAGCTTGGTGTGCTTGGATGGTTGGTGATCTTAAGTGGTCCCAGATAGCCTGGCTCTCTGTGGCTAACCCTGGAGGGTTCCTGGGTGTGCAGAGAAGGCCCCGCCATCTTCCCAGACATCCTGACATCTCCAGGAAGGTGTGGTGTCTCTGGAAGATGGGCGCCCTCCTGCGTGGCCACCTCATGTCTGGAGACAGCCCTGCCGTGAGCCCGCGGTGCTTCAGGGCAGCCCTGGAGGTCGCCGTGAGGTGCGCTGCTCAGGGCTGCAGCCCTGGCCACGCCGCACAGGAAGGGCCGCCGCGCTGACCCAGCTCTGCTGTCCCCGCCAGGCGTGGGCTTCACGGTCATCCTCATCTCCTTCTACGTGGGCTTCTTCTACAACGTCATCATCGCCTGGGCCCTGCACTACTTCTTCTCCTCCTTCACCGTGGACCTCCCCTGGATCCGCTGCAACAACACCTGGAACAGCCCCAACTGCTCCGAAGCCCAGGCCGGCAACGCCAGCGACGGCCCCGCGGCCGGCGACACCTTCCGCACCACGCCGGCCGCCGAGTACTTCGAGTAAGTAGCAGCCACAGCTCCCTGTCTGCTTTGTGGCCCGGCAGGACTGGCAGGCAGCCCTGTGGCCCCCGGGGCATGCGTGACACATACCCATGCCAGTCCCGGTCTGCCCCAGATGCCAGGGCTCCTCTCCTCTGTGAGGTGTGCGTCCGAACCCCAAGCGGACAGGCGTCAGGCAGCTCAGCCTAGCTATGGGGGGTGAGCACGAGGCAGACAGGGGCCCCAAGCCAGCGCGAGGCTGCTCTCCCCGGTGCCCACAGTGGCATGGAAGAGGCTGTGTGGCAGGAGGCAGGCGGCGGGCCTGGGGTCTCTGGTGCTCTGCCCCCCATCCCCTTCCTCTGCACACAGGCGCCACGCCACTTGGCCTGGGGGTTGTCTGCTCTCTCAGGCACCTCGGCAGCTCAGACAGCATCTTCAGGGTGCAGTGGCCCCCACTTTTCACGAGGCTTTCCTTCTCATTATGCCCCTCCGCCATCCAGAAGGCTTTTGAATGAAGTCACGCATCTTGTTTTTCTGTTTCCTCCTCCTGAGCCTGGGCCAGGCCTACGTCTCTGCAGTCCGCCCTCCCCTGGTGTCCGCTTCTCCCAGGCTTTCATTCCCACATCAGCTCCTAGACCCCCCACTCCGTCTCCGGTGGACTGGTCCAGAGGGACCCAACCCCCACAGATCCACCAGCTCCTGACCCTTCTCGGAACCGTGCGCCGTGCGCAGCAGCCTCTTCTTTGACCCCATTTCCAGCAAGCATTTCCCGTGAGCACTCGTAGCTTGTCATTGTGGAAGTGTAAGTGGACATTAGCGGTGTGTAAGGGTATGCGGGGTACATGCCCTGGAGTTGCCGCCGCCCGGCTCCCAGCGGGGCTGACTCCCCTGCTTGGACCCAGGTAGATTTCCCTAAAACGCAGCTTCTCTGGCGGAGAGGAGAGGACAGCACCGCATCCAGGTTCCGTGTGGATGTTGGCGCTTGTGCTGCGGGTTCGTCCACTGTGCTACGCACTGTCCACGTTTCCATGCGAGCGTCCGCTCTTCCCTGTGGTCTGTCCTGCCCGTGCTTCCACAATGGGCGTCCATGGACAGCTTAGCAGAAGGGGTGTGGGCCCGTCCTCTAGACACGCCTTGGGTGGGAGCAGCAAGTGGGTCTGATTCCCAGTCTCAGCGTTGTGGAGCTCCTGCTCAGGGGAGGAGCGGGCCCTGGAGGGAAGGGCCAGCCCTGAGTTCCGTGAAGGTCCTCAGCTCTGTGGTGCCATGCGGTCACCAAAGCCGAGCAAGGGAGTGAAGACCCTACACCAGCAAGTATGCGAAGACCAGGTGGCGGCAAGAGTGCGGTCGTGTGTTCCAGACATCTTCCCGAGGGTGTACACGGATAGGATTCCATCCCGAGAACTCCATGGCTGAGAAGTGAGCAGGAACAGCTCTGAGGGGCCTCACGGAGCTGGACAGCCCCGGCCCGTCCACCGGCTCCGTCCGAAAGCGAGCCTGGCCTTCTCCGCCAGGCTCCGCACACACCACGGGCAGAGCAGCGTGCCAGCTTGCCTCTGCCTCCAGCCCGCACCACCCAGCTTAGCAGCCCACGTCCCGCGGGGCTGGTGATGGAGCTCTGCGGCTGCCCGTGCCACTAGGCCCCAGTGGATCCAGCCAGTGGCCCCGGCCTCAGATGCGGTTTTGGTGGTGGCCTCCAGGCAGAAGGGAAAGACACTGCTTCCATAGAGACGGATGTAACTCAGGAGGAAGGCACCTGCCTGGCAAGCGTGAGCCCCTAGGCTGGGTCCCAGTACTGAAAAAAGGCCCTCCCTCCCCCTCCTTCCCTCCCTTCCCCTCCCTCCCTCCTTCCCT